TATTATTGTGAGACATGTCATCTCTTTTTCTAAACGAGAGAACATCTGGTGGAACTTCATGAGCTGTTGTGTATCGTAGAATGATCTTGAATATCGGGTCATGAAGTTGGATTCTTTCATGCCTTTTTGGTCTTTTCATTATTTAAAAAATTGTTTGCAACTGCGTTGTTATGAAGCTTGAAATAATCTTCCACATACGCAGACGAATCCACAACTGTTCCGTTGACTATTACCTGGTGAGGTGGCTCAGGGCAACAACTGATATCACTGCGGTTCGAGTCCCGACGGTAGCAGTATTTTCAGCACCAAGTGGATAGCCAAGTCGAATTCAACCTTAGGGAGAATTCTATCGTCCTACTGTTTGACTGCTGATTTTACGTGGTTCTCCGATCAATACAAAACGAGTGACGGGTCTGTCTCTTTTATGTAGCGACGATAAATGATGAAACAATGATTGTGTAAAACGGTTCACACGTACTCTTATATGCAGCACACTACGAATACTACACAAGTCGGGAGACCAGTCGCGTGCTTAGAGCTTGTTCCGGCAGGGACGGCGCACTGCTGGGGGAGATACCTGTAGGGGCAAATTTGCAAGCCGCCGTATCAGCGGCAGATCTCAACATCCAACGCAGAGATCACCACCCCCTCCCGCGACAGAACATTCTCAACACTAACAGGTCCAATGCCCATTTGGGTTCACATATCCAGAAACATCAATCATTGAAGCGTTGGAACATTGATGGTCTGTCACCCTCGACATCTCGTCTTCGTAAAGTCGGCTGCAATGTAGTATTATATTCTTTTCTTTGTTTTGTTTTCGAAATGTGTCCTGCTTTTTTTTAAGTCGGCGGAACTGGTGTTTTTTTTTTTATTCGTACTCTAAAATATTAGTAACGAAAAAAATATTTTCTTCATTAGAAAACGTTTTTAATAAATTATTTTTCTTCACATTTGCGAGAATCGTTATGAGATACGCACCCAGATAACTCAAGTAGAATATTTTGCATGGAAGATCAGCTAAATGATTAGTATGGTAATTGTGAAACATTTTTAGAATAGTTCATTTTACGTTATTTGAAAGGGAGGCGTGCGAAAAGGATCTTAAAATCAACTTACGAATACTGAAATAGATATGAACTTTGTAAATATACATCTTCAAAGTACGGAATGTAGTCATTCCAGACATTTTGTTTGCAAGAATACCTGTAAAAATGTTTTGGTCAGTAGTGTGTGGACCCCCCCCCCACGTAACCATGTACTGCCATCGAAATTATTTGGATCCGCGAAGTTTCGTGTCTAATATAGAAATATAAAAATGTTAAACTACATGATTCGGCTGAATACAGTGGAATCTAAGGACAAAATGAATTTAAAATCGAGTCTTTATGTAGCCTTTAATTGTATTTAGTGTGTTATATTTGTTTTTTTTTGTAACTGGTATTCAAAAGTACTGCCCCAGATTTTTCTAAATTATTTTTAAAATAATATGAGAGGAGTCTTTTGTTGAAATCAGAACACAGAATTTTCGTTTAATTAGCCAATGGTGTTGGGGAGTTAATGTTTTGATTTTATTGAATTGATTTCAACTTAATGGACGTGGTACCTGGACCAAATTTGAAAACTTGTGCGTCTCTGGACTGAATTTTCTCTTAGCTCTGGGGGGCATCTATTGTTAGCCTCGCAGAAACATTTACCGCGAGTCTGTTTGTTTGTAATGGAAGGCAAACGCTCGCGATGTTTAGAATCGTCTACGCGCTAGTTTGAGGAACCAAAGGATTCCCTTCACCGCACTGAACATCCTGACTTCTTTCGCTTTTAATAGGTAGTTGTGCTCTCCACATACCGAAATGATGTTCTTTCTCAATCTCTCTGTCGTAGTTTGTAGTGTTCGCAAAGTAATGCGGACTTTATTTAGTGTTAGAACGTATACGAAAAGTGTTAAACGGATAATGGAAACTGGAAATAAATCGTGTATCTGGTCAGAGAAGTGAAAAGAAAACTAAAGGTTATAAAAACACTTCTGCTTATTGCCTGCACTGTATCACCGTGTAGCGGACACGTAAGAGTGACTCATTACCAGACGGTGTTTCCTGAACATTATTCATGACTCGTTCCCTTTGTTTTGTGGAGAAAGTCTGACCACCATTATAAAGGCACGTGCCGATGAAAGCGCTCGTTTTTTTCTTCTCCAATTGTCCAAAGACAAAACTTCTTGGCTGACCTTCTTGAAGTAAACTTACGACAACTGTGAATACGTCGTATTTTCTCGCACAAGACCGTCTTCTTGTAATAAAAAATGTGAAATATGCTAATACAATATAAAATAGTGCAAGAAGAACACATTAATAAAAAGCCCCTGAGAGAGTTTACTGTCACTCTATATTTCTAATATAAATATATACAAATGCTTTCAAATTCCTGAGATAAATTGATTCATAAACCCACTGCTAATATAAGCCATTTTGTTAAGAATTTTCTAATTTAATACTATATACGAGGCTACCAATATTTAAAACATTCTACTTTTAGAAACTTCTAATTGTTATTTGTAAACATCCTTTTTGACTCTGAATGTATTTTTCACTTCCACGTTAAATATTTGTCCTCCAGGCATCTCGGAGGTGGAAGGAATAAAAACATCTGCGCGGCGATGGAGGTCGAGCTAGTGGTGGACGAATTGAATATTGCAGAAATCAGGCGACGAATTCCCCATTTCCATTGTTATCACACAAACTGCATCCGTACGTGGATTGTGTTACGCAATCTCAATATTCGAATCATTTCTGCCAGGTGTAATCCCGTAGGTGACTGTGGGAGGGAACGAGGACGTCAGCCGAGATGATCTCTTATGTTATTTTCTGTCGAGTGTAAAATTTATTCTATTTTGTTTTTATTTCATCTTTTTTTACCGCCCCTGGCTGTCCCCTTAGCTGCTCCAGCGCTCGGCGTTGGCGCCCCAGCTTCCGCCGTACCTCCAAACAGCCAATAATACACCTTTCGTATTTCATGTGCTGACGCGCGCCTATAAACCGCGCACCCTCGCGGCGCGAGAAACGTCGGCCCGGCGCGTAAATCATCGTCCCCTGCGCAATGGCCGCTCCTCCACATAACACACAGACCGTCCCTTCCCTCCCCCAGTCCGCCTCCACCGCCGCTGCCAGCCGCCCACGTGCAACGGCGTCCGGCGTCCGCCTCTCTCCCACCGGGAAACGCTCAGGGCATCAACTGATGTCACTGCAGGGCCTCTGACCGGGAGGTCCTAGGTTGGAATCCCGACGGTGATAAGATTTTCGTCCCTAGCTAGACAGCTAGATCGAGTTCAGTCGCTGTATAGGGGATCATTCTAGCGAACAGCTGCTCTGATCAGGGTTATTCCGTGGTTTCTTCTATCAATACCGGGCGAATACCGGAGCAGAACCCTAACAAACGGGCTACGAACCTCGTGCCATTATACCTTTCTGTCCTTTACCCTATCCTCGCCCCATTACACACTTTCACTAACATGCACTATACCACACAAGCCAGGAGAGTGATCGGAAGCTTAGAGCTTGTCGCGGTTGGAGTGGTGCTCCGCGGGTGATAACTAGCTGGGTAAAACCTCGCTAGCCGACGTTAGATCTGGACCGGGTCTCACCATCCAGCGTGAGAAGATAGCGAGAAAAGCGAGCACTACACTTACGGGACCAATGACCTTAGAAGTTGACGCGCCTGGAATCACTAACAATTAATCAATCAATTCTCACCATACCCAGATCCTCCCCTCTCTCTCGCCGCCTCTACCCGCGTTTCCATCCGCCCTCCCACCTGCCCACATGCCACACCCTCCGTCCCTCTCCTTTTGAGACCACGCACCCGTCGAACTACAGAGAAGTTTGGCTAAGAAGGACCACATGAAAGTCGAGTTGGACGATGGCATTGCAAGTGGTACTGTCGAAGTGAGCCAACTGCAAACGAACATACTGACGAATTGAGTGTATGGACATAACCTGCAGTTATGTTGCCAGCAAGAGCTGACAAAGATGTCCTTTCTTACATTTAGAGTAATGTTTCTACACCAAATATTGTTGTCTACCCGCCACTGTGCAAGCAAACCTTTTAGTCGGTCTGCATTCCCGATCAGCTGTCCTGCCCCGCCCCACAACGTACGCGTCCCGGAAACGATCTCGATTCTCATGGTAGTTGCATTTCCACTAAAGCTTCGAACTCGTAACAGCTTGGCAGACGCCAGTATGCGTAGTAATACTTTCTTGTTTCACATGACAAAACAAGAGGCCAGTCTCTACTATTGCAAACTGCCTGGTTACATAATATATCGTCATCTGACGAGAAGAAACAAAATAAATTTATCACGTTTTCGCGTGTTACAAGACTAACTACACAATTATCCAGTATAACTCTACATACTGTCAGATATCACAGATGGTAGCAGATTGAGTGTAGTTATATGAAAATAACAAGGTAATAATGTGCCGACGATTAGTATGTGCCGACCCTTAATGGTTACCTTGTTATTCATAATCAACAAGAAACACAGAGTTTAATTGATCATTTTTATTTATATACAGCTATATTATTATTATTATTATTATTATTATTATTATTATTATTATTGGCATATAATTTTACACGATCACACTTTACACGATTAATGTGTGGAATTTGGAGATCAGCTTTATCAGCTGTATCCGTCAGTACGACAAGGTTGTTACGCCTTGAAGTGTGAATTAAGAGATGATAGTATGATGATGAGGGATGAAGGGACAATCACAAACCCGACCATGTCTACGCAGGACTCGAACCTGCAGCTTCCTCGGCGAAGACGACAGCTGCAGCAATCGTCTGCGCCACGGGGCCGACATTGTTGTTGTTGTTATTATTATTATTATTATTATTATTATTATTATTATTGTTGTTGTTGTTGTTGTTGTTGTTGTTGTTGTTGTTGTATCGAGTGCGATGATTGCAAGCGCTTGAGTGGGCACGTGCTTGGGTTGCAGCTGGTGGGCGTGGCGCCGGCGTGGCTGCGGCTGGAGCGCACGTCGGGGCTGCTGGAGGGCGTGCCGGGCCCGGGCGACGCGGGCGACGTCTACCTGACGCTGCGCGCGCGCGGCGCCGCGGGCGACTCGGCCAAGGACGTGTTCGCCGTGGAGGTGCGGCCGCGGCCCGCCTCCGCGCGGGACCTGCGCGCCCAGGTGAGTGACACCGGAACTGTAATTCGTAGGCAGCGGATTGCTACGATTGTGCGTGTTTTGTCCGTTGCTTCAGTGCATAGCGCTAGTACGATTTATTTAGTCGTGAACAGGATGTAAATCTGCTGTTGCGGTTTCATCCAGTCGGGAGCTTATATGTCGCTACGGTGACGTCACTAAGGGGACGTTCAAGCTCCCGCTTGGATGAAACCGTGAACAACTGATTTACGTCAAGTGCATTGTGAAATAAATGCTAGTCTACGACTTATTTAGTCGGGCCCTTGACGGAAATCAGCTGTTGTCGTTTCATCCAATCTGGAGCTCATTTGTCGCTGCAGTGACGTCACAACGGAGTGCCTAAGCTCCCGATTGGGCGAAACCGTGAACAGCTGATTTACGTCTGGTGCTCGGGTAAATAAATCCTAGTGTAAATTAATTCTTTTGACTTTTGTTTCGAATTGGATGCTGTATAGATTAATTAGTTAGTGCATATTTGTGCATATTTTGCCGATTTTTCATGTGCATATTCGTGTAATTGTAGACGCATATTTTTTTTAAATAGAGTTATCTATAAAACGTTTCTTCTTTTCATTGAATTTATTTATGTGTATATTCGAAAGAGGTTATCACAGTTTGCTTTTTTTCTTTTTCTACATATGATAAAATATTTGTGCAAGTTTAGAGTGTTTCTTGATAATATATTTTTTAAACCATCACAGAAGAAATACAAGACGTACAATGTACTTCACAAAGGCGAATATTTACTTCAATTATTTCTCTCGCAAAGTAGGGGTACATTATATTACGTTTGCACAAAATTGTATATTTACGAAATAAAATATTGTTAATTTTAATTGCAAATTAAAAAGCAAGTTTCTGAATTTTTAGGTCATAAATGCATATTTTCAAAATCTTATTTCAAGATTTTTAGGGCATAAAAACCCGCTTTCTAGTTATTAGTGATGGTAGAATTTGGTTGGGTATTGTAGAACGGTGTTATTTTGCAGAATGTTTTCGCTGCATGCCACTAGTAGTTATTAACATCATGAGCCATATATAGGGAACATGACGTCCGCTATTACAGTTTGTAAAACGTGCTTTATAACCAATCACGTTCTATATTTTTTATACCGGCCTCAAATTGTTCCGTACTTTCGTAATAGTGCTTTCTTAAAATCATGGTAATAAAAGTATTTTCTTGAAATAGGAGAAATTCGTACGATATCTTTAGGTACAAATCACCTTTTTTCACTGTTTTTAACAAAAGGCGATCTGTTAGCGGTTCGCCAGACCTTTAGAGTGACTTTTTGTTCACTTGTTTAGTTGCGTTTTGCTGATAAAATAATACAGAATTACGAAAAGTACTGTGCGTAATACTCTGTGACCAGGCTGAATGTGTTTTTCATGGTCAAATTGCTTCAAAGTTGTTTGTTTTGTAGTTTGTAACTCGTATCACGTTGTGAAAGATATATCGGGTGACTAATGTTTCAAAAATTGTTTCCCGCGTTATTAAACGAAAACGTTACAATCGTGTGTCGATCCGCAAGGACCAACAGTGGAATTCGCACTTCGCAGCGTTTCAAAATGTTACGTCGAGAAGGTTTGTGATGGAATCCTATTACGTTAGCGGACGAAGGGTATCAAGTTATGTTGCTTAAACCTTGTTAAAATTCAAAATTACAAACCGAGTTTCAATATCCCTATAAATGAAGTAACTGAAATTTGATTTGTTTATTTCAAGTATAAAATCGCGAATTTTTCAGATTCATGATGTTCTTTGTGTGACACAAACATGTAACACATAACTTGTAACGTATTTGGTTAATAACCCTGAAATTATTTTGTCTTTTTGGCCTAGTGTGATAACTATTGATCAACCTGAAAGAAACTACAAACTCGCTTTATTTAAGGTAATTTTTACGAGAAAAAGGGTTCCATAAATATGATCGTTGCAATGTACTCGTACGTTGTTTTTAGTCTCTTCCTTAGAGGTCTCCTCTAGATCATTAATGTAATATTTTGATAATTCTATTAATTACCCTAGCGTTTTAAAGTACGTGAAATTAAAAAAAATTGAGTAAGTCAGCATTTGGAAAGAATTGAATTTTTGAACAAATTTAGAGATCGCAAATTCAGAGGAGGTGAATGTAAGCAATTATTTCATTTCAGAAATCTGAACTTGTGCAGAACATTCTCTTAATCGAAAGGGGAAGACAACATTTTTGTGGCTCTTCACAAACTTCTTTATGGTGAACAAAATTCTTTCATCAGCTATTTCGAAATGATAAAACGTTCTTTTGTTTTCAATGGTTTGTCTTGTATTCGGCTGAAAATTTAGTACATTGTTCTATGCCCCGCCTTACGTACTTGAACATTGTACAAGTAAAACTGAAAAGCATCCTTAAATGAAAATGTGTAAATCCTTCATATTAATGATCTACTTGAAAACTTTGTTACTTGTACAAGTATCCGTATTGAGTCAATAGAACCCAGTTCTTATTATTGATGGAAGATACGTTTATAAAATTCATATTCGGGGTAGTTGTTAAACAAATTGGTAGAACTTGTACCAAGATAAATATTAAATTAAATGTTAAATAGAGTCCATTTTAAATGTGTACTCTGATATGATGCATTCGGCTATCCGCTATACAATGTTGATCATGATGTAATACCATATAGAACCACTTCCCGTGCTTGGAAGAGTCATCATATAAGCGACCACACACCATCTGGCAAAGTAATCATCTGATAGCGCTTGAACAATTTATACAGCTCCGCCTCTCTTGGTCGTCGTTAATATTGTGCCTACATTCATTATTCTGTAATACTTAAAATCACTGTGTACCCTGTTTATTCTTCTTGTTTGATTTAAACTTATATTTCAAGTACAGACGTAATGAAATCAGTGAGGAACGTAAAAATGTCACAATGCAAAATAAGTTGAGCTCCCAAGTTAGTGTCTTCAGAGCTCTGATGCTTCTTTTTTTACATCTAAAATAAGAGACAATCGTATTCTGTAACACTTGAAAGCTCAAGCAAGACTTTGCTTTATCCTCTTTATACTCGCCGTCGTTGTTTTTTATCACGCTCAGCAATCACATTCGAATCCTTCTGACCTCTCGGCCTGGAGAGTACCTTCCATCACCGCCCCTCACACGGGCTCCCGAAATTCTCGTCGTTCCATCTTTATGTCAACACCCACATTTCCGTCTCTCGCGTCGAGGTGCCACCCTCGTTTCTCAGCAGCCTATTTCCTCCCATTCTCCCCAGGGCGCCGTCCAGCCTCATTTTTCTAGTCCGCCCGTGCACCGCGGCTTGTTAATCCCCCCTTTCTTCTTCTTCGTCTTCACACCCTCGCTCGGCAGCGCTCCCTCGTGGCTCCTCTGCCGACGCCCCTCGGAAGGCCTTTCGATATCTGCCGTATCTGTCGTTGTTGCCTTCTGTTTCCATTTGTCATCGACGTTGTCCGACCTGCGCCGCGATCGACCAGCCTGCCTCAATTTCTCACGGCGCTTCGTGTGCATCTCCGCCACCCCCTCTCTTCTTGATTTCAATTTTTCCGCCCCGGCCTCACCTCCGGCTCGGTTCATCTGCCACCGGCTTGAACTTCCCGCTGACTCGCCCTGCACGGCTTCGCACATGCCGGCTCGCCTGCCCGGCTTCGCCCTGCCTGGCCCGGCTTCGCCCTGGCCCGGCTCGCCCTGCCGGCTGCCCTGCCCGGCTCGCCCTGGCCGGCTCGTCTTGCCGGCTTTCGCCCGCGCCTTTCTCCCTGCCGGCCTCGCTGCCGCCGCCCTGCCCGGCTCGCCCCTGCGCCCGGCTCGCCCTGCCCGGCTCGCCCTGCCCGGTCGCCCTGCCGGCTCGGCCGCCGCCGGCTCGCCCTGCGGCTTCACCTGCGACTCGCCTGCCGGACTCGCCTGCCCGGGCTCGCCCCTGCCCGGCTCCGCCCTTGGCCCGGTCGCGCTGCCCGGCTTTCGCCCTAACACTCTCGCCTTTCCCAAGCTTCGCCCTGGCCCTGCGCATCCTGCCCCTCGTATTCACTCTGTCAGATGGCCCATCATAACTCTTTCTCGGCCGCCTCTGCTCCGCCCCGACCGCTATGCACCGTCCGCCTTCCGCCCTCTTCGTCCAATCTTTCGCTCTGGCCCTTTCTCCACCTTGCTCTGCCCCCCTTTTTGCCCGTTGCAACCTTGCCTGGCCTCTTCTCCAGTCCTCGGCTCCCCCTTGGTCTTTACTTCTTTGTAACTCCTCCCTGCTTGCCCTTTTTCCCTCTTTTCCTTTCGCCGTGCTGCTTGTTCCACTTTCCCATGCTTTCCACCTATCTTCTCTTCTACCAACGGCCGTGCCGTGTTCCTCTTTCTCTCGCCCTGCTTTGCCATCCCCTCGCCCACATTCTTCTTGCCGTCTTGCCCTGCCTTGATTTCCCGCTTGCCGTGCTTTGCCACGCGGGACCCGCTCTACGCCGCTCCGCTACACGCGAGGAAGGCGCCAAAGTAAGGGCGGCGGCAAGGGCAAGGTGGGCGCAGGGCAGAACGGCCGCCAAGGCAGCGCGGGCCACGGCAAGGCGGTGTAGTGCAAGGCTGCGCAAGGCCAGTCGGGGCAAATCATGGCGGGGCGGAGCGGGCCAAAACGGCGTAGAAAAGAGAACTATCGCAAGTCTGCTCCAGTGCCAAGTGACGCAAGGCAAGGCGACACAGCCCTGCATCGCCTTGTCCTACCTTGCCCTGCGCCGCCTTACCTTGCGCCTCCTTGCGTGTAATGGAGCGGGTAGAGAGAGACTGACCGGAGCGAGGTAGAGCAGGGCGGTGAAGAACGGATTGAGTAGGGAAGGGAGGCGCGGTGCGGTATAGAGCTTAGCGAGATGAGGCATGTCAGAGCGGAGAACAGCTGAGATGAACTGAGCAGAGCGAAGCGGGGTGGCGTAGAGCGGGCCGGGCGGGGCGGGCCGGGGCGAGGCAGGGCGAAGAGTAGCGGGCCGGAGTACGTCGGCACGGGGCTGGGGC